GGAATTATAAAAAATCAAAATGACTAAATAATTTATTAATATAATATCTAGATAAAGTAAAATTTATTTATCTTAATTTATGACTAGATAAATACATATTCAATAATACGTATCTAATATGCATCAAATGTTAGTTCCTATTTTCAAATCTAACTGTATGTTTACTTCTATTGACAGTTTATAATTTTATCATTTTCTCTTGGGTTACATAAAATAGTGAACGTGTACAGTTCGAGTCTTCAATGTACCACAATTGCCTATACAGTAACGCCTGGTATAACACACAGATATATGTATGAGCTAATAATAGTAAACCACGTTCAAAAACAAGAGAAAAGTTAAACCTGTCATCATGTGACACTGATGAATGAAAAAGAAAGGAGGTGGAGGCAGGTTTGGTCTTCGAATCCGGGTCAAACTATTCGCACATAAAATCAGACCGAAGGGTGGGCGCCCGGGAAAAGCATTTGTCCTTGTCGCCCTCCTCTAATACATATTCCGCACTATTAGACCCAACATAAATTACCAAATGTCCCCCTCACCCACCAGCCACAAATTCTGAAAGCGTACAGACCGAAACCTTATGATAAATATCTTGTAGAGAGCTGAAAATAAAAAAAAACCTCAACTGTCATTACTTGATTGTGACGTCACTAAAAAACGGGTAAACAAATCGAAAATGATATATATATATATTATAAATACAAAAAAAAAAAAATAATAAAAAATATTTCATTTAAAAATGAAATTTAATATTAAATACAGTAAAAAAATATCCAGCTGAGACAAGATACAGCGGAATATTTGGGCTTTATATCTCTCTCATTCACCTCGAACATGATTTTGGCATATTAAGGGTTACTCATAAAAAGAATAAAAACTGATGACCAGTAAAATCGCAAATAATAAGCATTGATATTTTTAATACAAATAGATTAATTAAAACTTAAAGGGATTTATAAATTTATGTAGTAATACATAATTTTAAAGAATCGTTTACTAAATTTATCAAAGACTCGATAATTTAATTCGACAAGTAAAACTAATACTTATATCATACCGTCTGAATTCAATAAAAATAAATTTAACACAATTGAAAATGTATAATACTGAAGTTCGCAAATCACGGTAGTCATATATGTACAGGATTTGTTTTATCAATATTCTAATTTTTTTTTTTTTTGTTAAACTAACACAGAGTGTTTGCAAGTGGATGTAATTGTAGTTATCTACACTTCATAAACCGTCTACTGAATCAATGAATATAGACTGCAAAGTAGATAATTTTTTTTGGATCACACAACTTTTAAACTGTTGTATTTCTCTAGTAAGCGTCACAACTCTCTATAGTTTCATTGTTTCAATAAAAAAAAAACCCCTTTCGCTAAATAATTTCTGTCATTTTTCTTATACTTTTATTATTACTATTATTATTATTATTATTATTATTATTATTATTATTTTTTTGTCTTTATTGTTGCGACGAGACTCTTCTGTACATCCGGGTTGAGGGGTCACCCTTGTTTCATTTTCTTTACAATTCATTTTTGTGAAAAGTTCAGAGAAGAAAATATTCACGACTCTTATAGTGTATTATTATGGGAAAATCTAAACGTCAGGTGATATGACACAAATAATTTTCAAAAGAAAATGTTACAAAAATAATGTTATGTAGATAATCAAAGAAATAAAAGTCTGATTATGAAATGAATATAATAAAATAAAATCTTATTCAACTCGTGATAATTAGAAGAATTCATGTTAGATTGTGATTTGAAAAAGTTTATGATATTTATACAAAGATACGAAGACAATTGTTTCACTGACAAAAAACATATTGAATGATAAAAAAAAAAAATTCAAGAAAAATATTTTAAAAATAAAAATAATAGTAATAATAAATAGCTGAATCGTAATTAAACGAATTTAAGTATATATATTTATAAATTCCATATTAAATAATAGAATGCATAAAAATCTTGTGTGTAACATATATAAATCAAAACAAGCACAAGACAGTAATGTACCTAAATTGTCTATATAAAACGCCGTGTTATCAAAATCATAAAAAACTAAATATGATAAGGCGATTGTCATGATTATACAAATTTCGGTATTCTATAGCGTACAGCCAGACTAATAAAAAAAAAAAAAAATAAAAAAATATAAAAATAATTTATTATTAATAAGGGCCTATTTAATTTTTTGTTTATGAAATATTTTATAACAATGGCATACACATTTTTAGTGTATATAGTATTTATTACGGATCGTTTGAGTATTTTATACTGCGATCAATAAGTATACCATATCTAAATTGATTCACTGAAAAAATATTTAAATGTATAACAATAAATGTTTTTTTTAACTATTATTAAAGATAAAACTTTTAATACATTTTATGATAAAAATTAACGATTAATAGAATCAAATTGTTAAATGATAAAATTTATATTATACAAAACTAAAAGAATAATTAATATAGTTTAGGTACTGAGTTTAGTGAGTTGAAACCATGTATTTTTATTTAATATACAATCAAACGTTTATTATTCAAAAATAATAAAAACGTTTGTTTAAAATACGGGTTTAAACACATTTTATAATTCTTTATGTCTTTGCTATTAAAATCAAGTAGATGCTAAGTAATATCAGCATTTAGCGAGGGTAAAATAATAGCAGCAGTATTCTGTCAGTTCAGATATTGTCCTACACAACGTCCTCAGGGAAAACTAGTACTAATCAGGCGATGATGCAACATAGCTGCTTTTTGCTAGAATAATTCAGTTTAGTTCCAAGAACTTAAATCAAATATTAAACACAAACAAAATATAAATAAACCGACAAACAATAGTATTTGGAATGATTATTAAATTTTGTAATTAATTTATAACTCAAAACAATTAAACAAAACATTTAGGTATCAATAAAAAAAAAATAATAATAATAATATATCTTATTTAGATTATATTAAATGTACATAAATAATATTAATTACATTAATATTTGTATTTTTGTATATTTTAATTATTATTAAATTATTATTTAAACCATTTAAGTTAATAAAAATAAAAGTGAAGTGAAAAGTGTGTCAAGTGAAAAATGTTTAAAGTAATCGATGAGAAAATGATAGATATTAATTTTATATTAAGAAAAAAATATAAAAAAAAAAAAAATGAAATAATTACAAATGATTTAATTTATTATATCCTATGTAGATAATCGAAATCTATCCTTTATTTTACAGATGACAGAAATAGTCAACAAAAAACGAATGCCAATAATAATAATTTCAATCTTTATAAGTAAGTATCTGACTTGAATAACTTACAGTTAAAAGATTCATGAAAAAAAAACAAAAACAAAAATAAAAATTGAATTTATTTTAAATCATCGAATCTAGGTCGCGAATATAATAGGAAACAAAGAAGATGCAAAATAAATTATATTCTTATTCAAACCGAACATTGTACAAATTGAAATCAATTCATTAGTAAATAGTATTTTATTTCAAAAAGGTTAATTTGTTATGTCTTTGGATACTTTTTTAATCGAAACATAAATCAAACATTTAAATCTGTTGTAGGACACAAAAAAAAAAACCTGTAACCAAACCGTTCTTTTTTTTTTTTTATGTGGTTTCTTAAACTATTTAACATATTCAGTATATACAATTATCTAATACATTTAAATATAAGTACACGTGTATACTTGTAAGTATATTACAACATAATAAGACCTTGTAGTCGTGATTTCGTTATTGTTCGAAAAATAGAATCAATTGAAAATTCGTATTATGATATATAATAAATTATGCAACAAGGTTAAAAATGTGTATGATCGATACAATTTATGGTGACGTTGGAAAACAAAATACAGTAGACGATTATACGTCTACAACAACGGCATCAACCATTATTCAAATCATTCTGGGAAACATTAAATTTAACGTTTATTGTTCCAGAATTAATAGACGTTTAGACAGGTTATTAATTAGTGGCAGCTGGCATTGTACATTGCTGGTGAACACAGTAAAGGTGTACGGGAAAAACACACACGGAACAGCAAACGGTGTGCGAGCGACGAGGGGATGCCAGATAGAAAAGGACCATAATAACTAGGACAAAGTTCCGTTTGGGGATTCGAACGTGACGCGTTTACTCTAGTCTATTTGTGTGTGCGCGCGCGTGTGTATGTGTAAAGCACTATTGTACTAAATCCCCCCTCCTGCCGCGTCCTTATTGGCTGTTTCGACGAGCCGTTATTAATGTCAACCATGCACGGGTGTAAGAGAACAGGACGGACAGGTGAAGGGGATTTAACCAACCACCTTTGGACCCGATTCCGTTGAAGGTTCTACATTACCACCCCATGTCTTTCCTGTTGGCATTATTGGATTTTCGCCAATATCAAACACACACACACACACACTAGATAGATAAATGAAAGGATGGATAGACAGAGCATTGATAGAAAACTGCGTGTGTTCAGAATGAATGGAAAAAAACACGAAAAGGAAATAGAATACGATATATATATATATATATATATATATATATATATACTATATATCTATTCGTAACTGTGTATTATATAATGGTTTCACCACGTTGTGCACATTATACATTCATAAAACTGTTGTATTTATGATGGAAAAATAACGTCATGAAAAATCACGTTTCAAATAGACTAATGGTATAATCAATATATACTTCAATTTCATTTACCATTATATTACAAAATAAATTTCTCACAAGTTACAAATCAAAAAACAATATATTGTACCCGTGATAAACACAAAGAAAAGGTGCAAGTATTACGATGAAAATTCGTGTGAAATCACGCTCATTTAAATTTAAAAAAATATATAAATATACGTGGATTATTGGTAGGTAACGTTTTAAAATCTTTTGCTAATATTCTTAGAATATTATTTTAATATGCAATATTAATATAGTATATTTTTAATTTTATGCAAAACTGATAAACAGTAATCTTACCTTTCACGTGTTCTGGATTTTCCGTACCAGAACGCATAATATCGTTTAAATAGTGTTCAAGATTGCGCATGTTATCCAAAGGTCCAGTGCCGTTTCCACATCGTTCCTAAAACATGCCAAATGCATTAAATTCAAGTATTAAGGTATTAAAGGAAATATCTTTTGTTTTTAGAATGGATTTATTAATACCTTATTTAAAAAAATGAAAATTAACTTTATAAGGAATATTATACATTTTTATATTTAAAATAGGGGTACAACTGTATAATTCATTAAACTGTATATTTGTGAAAATTAAAAATATATAAACTAAACATATTTTTGCATAAGCAAATGAATAAATCATGTTTTTATATTTGAAAGAGAAAAAACAAAAACAATTCTATACATAATGTTATATATAACATGAATATCAGAATAGCTAATTACTTCATGAAAATTTCAATTTTGTATTGAAATACAAAAGGTTACTTTATACCTGCATAATTAAACTTATTATGATAAAGAGCAATGAATATTTTAATTTTGAATAACTCTTTAATTGTAAATTGTTAATTAAATTTCCATTCAAACCCAAATGCTATTTTATAAAGCTTCTATTGTACATAATTTATAATTTTTGTTTTTAAGTTTAAAAATACAAATATAACTTCATGCGATGCATATAGTTAAATATGATAATTGATTATATGTATCAATATTATCATTTTAGAATTTATGTGAGTTATTTTTTTGTGAAATATATACTAATAGTATAATTAAAAATACAAAAACTATTTTAATATTTTAATGACTTCTAAACGATGTTTATAGGTTCACTAGTAAATATTAAAATCGAATTACTAAAATTACCAAAATACAAGTGTATACAATAATTTAGTTCGTTAACTAAATAAATGTAAAATATAGAGATTTTTGTTTAACTAATATTATATACTATACAGTATATAAGATGGTTCCTAATGCACAACTCTGTTTCTGTTTGCGTATCATCTTAACACGTCATTAAACGTAAAATATTAATAAACGTTAACATTTAATAATTAACGTCTAAAAATATTCACTACTACATACTTTAAAACTAGTGAAAATAAATCCTATTGGTTTAAATAAATAATATACGAAATTTTTTCTAGGTAGTGATTCATTCAAAGTTGTATTTATTATTTAAGAAAAAAAAAATAAAAAAATTCACATAAAATAAAATTTAAAATTGTATAATACATTAAGGCAGTGTAGTGTGCCTTAGTAGAAAAAATATTGTAAATAATACTAAAACTAAATTTTTAATTCGATTTTATAAATATATAAATCTTATAAGAATTTTTTATTTTTTTTAATTATCAAAAGAGAACTTTGGATTTAATAAGGTTTGTTTCATTGATATGAAATATAATATTATAATCGATTCAAAATATAAACATAATACATAGTACATATTCGTTTGATTATAACTCATATTACATTCTATATTTAATCATATAAAAGCATATATGAGCTTACACTTACATTAAATTTAATGGGAACTATAACTAGATCAGATAGAAACATTTCAATTTCATTAAACTTTGAGTATTATTTGAATTAATATATTTCAGTGATAATAATAGTCTTTCATTGTATATAATTAATATATAATAGATAAATATAAATAATTTATTGGATTATTTAAGTTTTTTATGATTTTTGAGAATGATACATTTTCATTAAACAACGACTGGAAGTCCCAAATAACATCCTGTGCCAAACCAAAATTCTAGTTGTTTTTATATTAACATAACAGTTTGCAGTTTGAGAAGGGTGCACAAAGTTTCATCAACGAATCCAATTATTTTGTTTTCATCGCTATAAGGTTTTGTATTAATTGGCGAAAGTAGAAAATACAACATTCATTAGGCTAATGTCCATTAGTATTGAGTTCATAAGATTACTCTTTTTAATGACTAATAGGTAGCTTTTGTCACAGATCCTATCAAATTACCTATTATGTACGATAATAGTTGTGTATTATTCGGGATTTTTAAAAACAAAACTTTATGAAGTAAATCACAATAGTCTTACAGAAAACAGCGAAATTATTACCTTAAAATTAAAAAAAAAAAAATGGATATATTTTAAATTAAATAGTATTGGATAAGTACAAATTTAATAATTTCAAATATTTGGGAATAATTTATTAAGTTTGTAGTCAGTTCGCCAAGAGACTAAGTCACTCCTTTGAATTAAAATAAACCTAAACTATACTTCTAAGAATAACTAGACAAGAGTACTAAAATTATAACAATTACAATTGAGTACCCTAAGATAATTTTTAATGAATGTAAACTCTACCAAAATATATCATATTTTATTATTAAAAATATATATTAAATTACAATTTTTAATGTTTACTTATTATGTGTGGATTTGATGAAAATATTGTTTGATACAATTATATTATTAACGTGGTTTAATAGTATTTTTAATTAATGTTAAATTAATATTTGGAGTTAATTTTAATTTGTATAATAGTTGAAAAATACGTTATATATTTTGAATAACATAAAATTATATATATATATATACACATAAATTAGGATCATTTTGTATAAAATATCGACAAAATATTATTTCAAATTATTATTTATTAATTTTGAACATCTTACAACCTACTTTATTTGATTGTGATATGAATGTTATTTGAATTAAAATAAAATTAACACATATTATATAATGTGTAAAGTTTCATATTTTTTAAAAAAGTTAATTTTATTGGTTTTACTAAGATCTGTTATTATTTTTATAAAGTACAAGCACAAGTTATCTGTACTCTTTCTAAAAATTATGTCAATGACCAATCTAATAAAAATCCAATTTATGCTGTTAAAATTTGACACATATTGTACATTTAAAAAGTAATTTTTGAAATAGTTCTTTATAGTTTAAAGGAAATATAATGAGTATATAACTTTAAAAACGGTCAGAATATATATATATTTTTTTTAACATTAAAATTTGAATAACTTCTCAGAATTACTTTTTAAATAAGAATATAATACAATTATTAATTATAACAATATAATAAACCTAACCTAATGTAATATTACTTTACACTAAGGTTATACGAATGAGGTAAGTTCCAATTATTCATAAAATAAACGAATATACACTAATGTTACTTGTTTTATGGTAAAAGTTTAGAAAATTAAATAATAATAACAAATATCGATAATTTAAACAAATAAATTACTAATCAGTCAAGAATACGACGTAGATCTCAATAGTTTTATTCATATTTAGTTAAAACAAAGTTTTTGTCAAGAAATTCATTATAATAAGTCAAGGTATATATAAATGGTGCTAATCTAATACTATCACAAAAAATAATTAAAATAATATATGAGTATAGGACAAACATTTTTTTCTATTCACGGCGTTTAAAATTTAATACATAATAATTATAATACAACAAATATATAGCTGATAATTAAATAAATGATTGATTCGTAACAAAATTCTTTTATCTAATATTTAATTTATAATTGATGACAAAATTCAATGACACGACAAATTTAACTAATTAACCCCAATTTGATAAAACAAGAAGGTTTTACAGTAGAAATATAATGATTAATAATAATAGTACTGAATTCTGTTTATAAATATATTATATATATTGGAAAACTTTTGTGTATTTAAAAACGAAATAAATTTCACAAAAATAGTTGGAAGTTGACATGTCTGAAAAAAATAAGGGTATACAAACGCTAAAGAACTTGAGGTAGGTGTTAAAGATAATAACATATCATCTTTCATCATTAAATTATTCCTCACTCACATTAAATTGAATTATCCATAAAATATATTTTCGTAACGATCTAGCACACATATAGTACTTTTATTATGGACTTGGTACAATATTTTATAATTTAATATGTATTAATTAAATTTGATAATTAGAAATATTTTTTATTGTTTATATTATGTCGTCTCCTAAATTCTATGATAATGATAGATATTTTTAATAACGCAAAACATTAAAATAAACAAAAAACTGTAAAATTTAATTGTTAACAACTAAAATTCACAACTCTATCCTTAGTAATAAAGTTACTAAAAAGTTATATCCTGAAAAATTAGTTTGTAAATTTGTATTGATATACAATAGAATAAACATACCTATAACCTATAAAACATATAATCATTTTAAAGAGCATCAGCTTAAGGTTTTTATATACCTTAATAAAATAGCAGATTTTTAGAGCATACTATGATCAAAAAAAAAAAAATGTAAATTGATTTTTTCCTGTTGTAGACAGTTGACAAAGAAAGCAGAATAAATAAAATACAAAGATACAAACGATTGCTTGACGAAATTATTTTTCAAACTATTTTCCAACCCATTGGATTGGGATGAAAGAATTATTAAATTATAGCTGCACTACTGTCCATTCAAACCTTATTTTAAGCTTTACATTTTTGTAATAATTTCTCTGATAATCATTTTTTAGAATAAAATTTGTATACTTAAAATGTGATAATTTATAATGAACTTCATTGATTTAAACTTAATTTTGATTCCTGTCTTCATAATACTTTCTCTCACCTACAATTAAGTAAGTTTTATCTTAAGTTTTTGATAACTGGATTCGATTATCATTATTTTGATAACACGTTTCACAATAAAAATAACAAGTAAAACTATTAAGTTATATTTAAGAAAAGTATTCAAGTAGATATAAAGTTAAATTGTACATGTGCAATGTGCATATACTTTTTTTCATAACTGCAATCATGCTACTGTAATATCAATTTGAATTTATTAACCAAGTAAACCTATTAAATTGTTTAAAAATAGACAATGAACTTTATAATTTATAATAATTAAATAACAATTTACAGTTAAGAGTGTTTAAAAAGTATTTATTTTTTTTTTCATTATTCTTATAATTGAATATTTAAAATTTAAAGTTGAATAAGGAGCAACAGAGTTTTAGACAGAACCATATTATTTTATCCCGTTAAATCATCAACTATATAACTTATGTTATTTAAGCTAATCCCTTTAAATTACGATGAAAGGTTCTTTAGCCTAGAGTTTACCAATTTATTTTACGAATTAAACCA